GGCTTTGCTTATAGCTCTTCCGTTTGCCCACCATGCGCAAAGCTGTCCTAGGGCCCGAGCCCTTTGGCTACTCACCACACCCCTCTATCCCACCACTGTAACCAAATACCTGGTGAAGAGTTCACTGGACTTTGTACTTGAAAGCAGTCAGTAATGGCAGGCACTTGCTACAAAATTGACAGGTTGGTTAAAATCCAAGATTTCCAAGAAAAAATTTACATCAGAAATGCTAAAACAGTTCTTCTTCTTACTGACTTATTACATGGACCAGGGAGGATTTTACTGTTCAGTTCAGCAGTTAAACTCAGAGTGCCCCACATTCAGGTTATAATGCCATAGCCTTGTTGTTGGAAGAAAAAAAAAAAAAAGTTTTAGCTAGGAACTATGTTTTGTTTCCAAAACAATTAATTTCATTACTTTTTCTCCCGAGTGTGGCAGCCTAATTGCTGTGCTAATAAATACCTCTCCATCTCAGCCAGCCCCTAAGTGAGACAGTGCCTGCAGAAGAGGCTGGAAGAAACCCCTTGGAAGACAGCCAGCACTGTGGTCACTAGGGTGAGCCCAGCTCCAGCCAGGACATCTGGTCAACAGTCACAGAGCATGTGTTTGCTGTCACTAATGGAAGAGCTTGGTCATCCTCACATTTGGGAAATAGATTTCCAAGTCAGCTGGGGCAAAGAGAGGATCCAGACCTGATCCATGATCTCTAGCACCTGCGGTAGGCAATGACAGTAGTAAAGAAGATGCCGCTTTCCCTAACCAGCAACTTCTTGCCTTTCACTGAAAATTATTAGTAACAGGATAATCTATCTGAAAGTGCCAGCAAAGTTTCCTTTTGCATAAATTTCAGTATTTCCATTTGGGGTGAATTGGAGAAGTTTGTTTACTTCTTGAAGTAATACATGCCTAAAGCCACTGGCTTCTTTAACCCAGAGCACTGCCTCTGTTTATTCAGTGGTTTGTACCGTACCACGTGTTCTCCATGCCAGGATATAAAGTACATATCTGCATCAGTTTGTCTTCTCGCTATACAGAACTCCAAAATACCAAACCTTTCCAGTGTTTCAGAGGTATTATGATTTTAGGGTACCAGTCCCCTGGCAAACTGGTGGGCTGTTGTTTTCTTCAGCATTTTTCAAGATAGGTTTAGCCACAGAATATGTATATATATATATATATACAAAATGGCACTTGAATTCATGTTTGCTGTGGTTCTGATCCGACTCCTGGTTTAAATTCAGGTGCTGACCTTAGGTGTACATACCACCAGTATTATATCTCAAGACTACACAAAAATGCTACAGTTAGTGGCAAAGCTGTGGGCTGCAAGAAATGTCCCTGCCTTTCAGGAACTGGTTTGTCACCACTGGTGAGGACAATGAAGATGAATGGATGCAATGAACAGCTACCCTGCAGTGCGGAGAACCGGCATTATTGCACCAAAGCCCTGCAGCTGCACTGGGTCGGTAACCAGGTTCCTGGGCAGCCATGTCAGGGCCTCCTGGGCAGCCATCTCAAGAGCTCCTGGGCAACCATGTCAGGAGCTCCTGGGTGGCCACATCGGGGCCTCCTGGGCAGCCATGTCAGGGGATCCTGGGAAGCAATCTCAGGGGCTCCTAAGCAGCCATCTCAGTCCCACCAAGGTGCCCAACAAGCCCCAGGCTCAGGAAAGAGTGCCCGGGAAGCATGAGAGGAAGCAAATCTGGTGTGAGCCCCTTTCTTCTGCAGAGAAGGCAATAAACAGCCATGTGCGTGATCTGCAGCTAGAGGGCAGGCTCATTTTCTTGTAAAACGGGAAACAGTTTGCCGCGGTTGCAGTGACTTTCAGAGCATTCAGCAGAAATTACTAAGCTGTAAATCACTCAGGGCAAAGTGGAGAAGTCTTCTGTATATTAATAAGGGGGGCAGGCAGGAAATCAACCCAAACACAGGAAAAAAAACAGCAGATACACAGCCTTCTGATTGCTTTGCAGCTCTGGTTTCCGCCAGCAGGGTCTGCTGCTGACAGCAGCCGCAGACTCACGTCCATGGTGGGAACGCTTCACAGCTCTGTCTCATTGCAATCCTCCATCACATAAAATGTTCCATTGTTTTTTTGTGGCCATAGGACCTGGGAGTTGGTTGGTGGCAGTGAGCACAGCTGGAGCTGCTGTCCAGGACCAGGCTGTGTCCTGTGCTGCCATGTGCCCAACCAGGGCTCTGCTGCCACAGCAGCACTGGCTTTAGCACAGCATCATCAGATTCTCTTTGTCCTTTCTTAAAAGACCCGATGAAAAAAATCGGCTGTCAGAGTGCTGCCCTCTGCAGTGGGAACGTCCTTATTTAAGTGTATGGGAAACTGTTGACACCGCCTAGTATCAGTGCCGTCCTGCTGTTAATGCAATTATTGATGAGGCCAAATAATCCTAGAAGTGGTGCCTGAAAATTAACATCAGTGTAAATAATTCCAGGATCTCAGATGGAACAAGCCTGCGGCAAAACACAAGTGCTTCTCCTGTTCCCAAACAGGCATGTGCCAGGGGGCTTGCCAGGTATTGTGTCAGGAGAAGAGTTTCACGCATGAGAGGTGAGAGAAGCATTGTAAAACTGTGTGCCAAGAAAGGTGGAAAAAAGCATCCTGAGCAGCCCAGGAGTGCAGCTGCTGGAGAAGCCCAGAGAGGTCCTTGGGGCTGTGCACTAGCGGAAAATAAATCGCAACAGTGTGGAGAAAGATTTCTCATCAACTTTAAATTTCCTTAAATATATTGGTAATACATTTTGACTTTTATCTAGTTTGCAGAAATGAGTCTGCAGCGTTTGTTTCCTAAAGCATTGCCCTGGATAGAGACGGACTTTGAACTGTCCTTGATATACCCTCTGCAATGATGGGCATGGATGGAGAGAGAGGCAGAGAGGTTTGCGTTTGCAGAAATGATAGGCAGTGTCAGCCTGGTTTGGAGAGGGAGATTTTGCCAGGTTGGGTGTGAGGAAGATTTGACAGCTCCCAATGCATGCTTGTTGCCCTCCAAAACTAGGCAGAATCTTAAAAGGCCAGCAGGTATTTGGAGGAGTTGCACGTGCAGCACAATGCACAGAACTGCAATGAAGTAGCCAAACTTCTTTTTAATAGTTACTGAGAAAAGAATTCCTATCACTGCAGTTCTTCCTATCTACAAGGGCGAAATCCTCATGGTTTGACACGGATATCTGATGCTGAAAGAACTGCTCATTTCAGTAGAGAAAGGCTTGGGAGAAATTTGGATAATGAGGATGCTGTTAGAAGCCTGGAGAACCTCTGGGAACACAGAAAGCCACAAGGAGTGCTGTTCACCAGCCTTTACCAAACCAGCTGGAAGGGAGAGGTGAAGGAGCATCAGCAGAAGGCAGGAAGATGGAGAGAGGTTTAAGCACAGGTGAGGCTGAAATGAGGAGGTGGAGCTGTGAGGACAGTACATTTATTTTTCCTGTTTAACCAACCTGTAAATCAAGCCACAAACAGAATGGGAACATTTCATCCTGAATTGTGCATATGAAAGAGACATGAAAGTGGAAGTAGTGCCGCAGGATAAACTTCCTACCAGCAGTGAGCCATGACCTCAGATTTAACAGTGTCAAGGTAAATAGTTCTGATCCAAGCCCCTGATTGGCAAAGCAGGAAAATTACGCTAAATCGATGTTCATTGGGCAAATTTTCCTTGCTTACAAATATTCACCCAATGACAAATAGTAGGTATTTTTCTTTAATTGGGAAAAAAATATAAACTAGACAGGAAGGCAGGGGTGGTGGTGTGAGCAGTCCCCACCATGTCCCTCGGGCCATCACCATCTTTGTATCAACAGCATCTTCTGCTCCTGCCTCTGCTCTTCCAGCGCACAGCCACTCAATGCTTTGTTTGGGCTCCAGGGCCCATACACTTCATGGAGAGCGGAGCTGCCTCTTGCTCAAGAGAGGAAATGCTGTGGTAGCTTCTTCCATTTCATGCATTTGCCAAAATCCTTCTTGCTTTGAAGCACCCTGCTCCATTACCTGTATCATTTCTGGTGCTGAAGTTTCTGTTGGACCTTCTCTGATTAATGATTAACTCCTTTCTACCAGAAATTCCTCTCCAACATAGAGAAGCACCACCAAAAACTGTGCACCTGCATGCTCGTCTGTATCATTTCTCAACTTTACTCCATCAGAGCTCCACAAAATATCATCCAAGGTAGATTCAAATCATTGTTAAAGGAGACTGAAAGCCTCCTGGTGCCTCCTACTTTAACCTTACTATGTGGCATTCCCTAACTACCTAGCCCCAGCCTCCCGGAAGTCAAACATCCCTCAAAAAAAAAGTTAAGATGACAAGAAGACACTCAATTTTAGCAAATTTATCATTGATTATAACAACACAAACTAGTCCAGAGCCCTGGGTGGGATTATGCATGCACATCCATAAAAGAGGAATGAGAAAGAAGGCTGACAGAGCAATCGCTTTCATAACCCTCTCCCATATGGATGAGGTCCTAGGTGGTTTAGCAATTCGATGCTCAGAATTCCCCATAATACATTACAGAGTGCTGTTTCCCACAGAGGTGCAAGGGAGGATGCATGGGTAGGTGAAGGAGCATACCCATGCTCTCCATAGTGCCTGTGTGACACAACCTGGCAGGGCACGAAAGGGGCTGCATCTGCCATCAGCTGAGAGGTTCCTGGTAATAGGAGGCAAAGAAGGAGCCAAATCCAGTTGAACCACAGTGTGCTCAGGCTTTTACAATGCACTTAAATCACAGCTCATTTTAACAAATCTCAGCTGTGCCCTTGCTGTGCATTGGTGCAGAACCAAGCTGTCCCAGTGCTGCCAGGAATGCCACTGCCAGGTCTCCCACTTCACTCATCTCCACTCCTCCATCACAGTGTGCACAGATTTCCACTATGGAAGGGAGCAGTGCTGGGCAGCAGGATCACATCCCTGTCTAGCAGGTTGTTAAGGCAGGAAGGTTTCCATTAAGTACGCAAGGGTGTTAATTTATAGCATGCTTACCTCTTCTCACCAAATACTCTTCTAGGTCACCTCTCTGCCCGCCTCTCACTGCCAGCTGCTGTCCTCCAGGTCGAGCAGCTGCTCAGCTACTTCGGAGGTCTGGAAAACAGAGACATGTATACATATATTAGATGGACTATAGACGGTGTAAATGGCTTACAGCATTGCAAACACAAAAGCACATTCCTCTGCCGAAACTGCTGTATGGACAACTGAAGGTAACTGTGCCCCAAGAAATTATCATTAATGGAGTCTGAATCCACCAATCCAAAGCTACTGCCCCATTCACAAATGCTATGAATTTTTTTTTCCATCAAAAAGAATTTCTCAGAGTTGTACAACTTACGGTCTATTATTGCATCAAGGGAAATAAGACTACCTAGGAGCAGAATGAATAATACATATATAGAGCACTACTGATTTATTGTTTAAATAACATGCTATAGGAAGTTTCTACTAACTGCATCTGAGAGGTGAGGTCACTAGTTTCTAACAAAATAGTGCATAAACTAAACATATAGCAAACAGTGCTGCTAAAAATTATCGTATTTTCAGCAAGCATTGTGAGTATTCTCCAATAGAAGAATGGTTTCTTCATAACTCATTGGCCTTCATCAATTCAAGTCAGCTTCAAAATGCTTTTCAACGTCTTTAGTGTAGCTTCTGGTCATTATTATGAAGCTTTTAAGAAAAGATCATACCACTGAGCTCTGAGATCTGAATGAATCTTAGATCACAAATAGCCAAAGGACTGGGGCCTGCTTGTCACATGATGTCATTCTACTTGTTCCATGCAACTAAGGAGGCAACAAAGAATGAAGTCCACTGTTATCCAGGAAGATATATACAACCCACTGCTTTCATTCCGGTTTGTCAGGCAAGTGTAGATGTAGGTTATGGGTAACAAGCCTATTACAGCAGCTGTTGCAAGCTCAGGCTCAAGAGGAGATAAGTCAGCAGGAAATGCAAACAGAAACTAGACTACATATAATGATTGATCTCTTTTTTCGTATGACACATAGATTAACAAGCTCTCTAACTCCATAAAAATGCTCTCAGAGATGGCAAAACATAAGAAAATGCCAGTATGATTTGAATTGCTGTTATGTTTACAGTAGCCAGAAAGAATCCCCAAAACAAAAATAGAAAATCACTATATTTCTCTGGGTGAGAAAAGTGAAGTACAGTGGTATTTCTCATGAATTCCTATTTTAACTGCCAAATTTAAGCCAAAGAAGGGATTTTTGCCTAATAAGGAAATTCTTGAAAGCCTCAGATTATTACAGAAACTGTGAGTCTGCATTAACTGCTGATGGATACCAGTAGAAATCATTGCAACAGCAGCCCTTGTCCTTTTTTCTGTTGCACAGCCATCTCACATGTGCCTGGATAAAGAGTCATTTGTTCCTGGATCAGGGTGTCTCATTGGCACTGACACTCTTCTGCAAAACGAGGGCATTTTCTATAGGCAGCATTCTATTTCCATTTCCCTGGGCACAGTGACAGGGTCACTGAGACAAATTCAGAAGCTTCTGGGAATTCAGCAAGGTTGTGTGTGCTCACCTCCCGCTACCTGGAGACCTGCTCTGACATCGGATCCTGTCTCAGAGTGTTAACCATGAATGTATGTGCAAGATGCATGTAGAAAATTGCCCAGATCTCGCTGCTGGAGGGAAGGGTGGAAAAGGGTCTTAATGCCTCATGTTTTCAGATCAGCTCTGCATTAGGTAGGCTTGGCTGGGTTCTCCCTGGACACTCAGATTTCTGAGCTGCTGTAAGCACAAAGAAACCTGGGAAGGAACATTAAACAAAGTTACAGCCACGGAAGGCACTTGGTTGCCTGTATCAGCCCATCATGCTGCCCATGAGCGTTTCACACTTGTGCTGACATGCATCAGAGGGAGCTAGCCCATGGGGGTGACATGCTGTAACATTACTCACGTAGCTGGAAAGCTTCTTTGGTTTTACTCTTTACATATACATTCAACTGGAAATCTCTCATCAAGTAGAGCATGACGAGAAACAGTCATGATGAAAAAAACAGTGTTGTCCCTTGACAAGAAGCTTAAGTCCTCTGCAATGGAGAATGGGCAGTGGAAGGTGGCAGTTAGCAAAGCCTCTGAGCAATGCTGTCTTCACTTTGGATCTTTTGTTGCGTGGAGTAGCATCGGTGCAATGAACTGTTACACCACAGATAGCTAAGGGAATTACAAGCAGATGATAGCAGTGATAGTGCCTGGATAGCTGGTAAGGCCTAGCTGCATTTGACATGGTTGTGAACAATAGAGTTAGGCAATACAATAAAGAATTGGATTTGGGCCAGGCTACAGGAGTACACAAAGCTGTGTCAGCTACTGTGTCACCTGAGATTTCAGAGACACATTCAAGTATGTAGTCTGAAGGGAGGGAGGAAAAACTACATCATCCTCATGAGAAAGATCACTAGAGAAGACCTTGAGATGTTCCCGTAAGGAGGAGAAGCAAAGCTCTGGAGACAGAAGCTGCAGTTCAGTGGTTGCCACATACATTTTTGGAATTGCACAGATGTACTGACCATTGTCTATGTCATGCAGAAAGGATGTGTCAATTTCTGCATGTCACTGATGCAACTCTAGTTTCTAAATTAACTCTTTTCCTCCCTACCCTTCTCATTAGTGACAGCCCACCTGCAGATCCCTAAAGACAAGACGCAGTGTACTGCTTTCTATCTTCAACATGGAAAACTAAGCAGCAGGTGACTCTCTCACAGTCTTGAGCCCAGTAGAAATTGCTTCCACTGGTAGCCCGAGTTCTGTTGTTGCTACTGAAATGCTTGACCTTGCCAGAAAACCATACAGAATTGATGTGTTCATGAGATGAGGACACTACATGACAGAACTGTGCTTTATAGGTGAAAGAAAATAGTTAAGAAAAGTTTTCTGACTATGCTCCTTCTTGAGAAATGATTAGATCTAGAAGACCACTCGTTCCTTCTGAAGTTCCTTCTGTTACAGACTGTGTTAGCTCTCTTAATTCCCATTAAGCAAAAGGGAACAGTGCGGTTCTGGCCTCTCAGAAAGGTTAACAAAGTAGTGCAAAATGTTCAGAGAAGACTAATAGGCGTAGCCCAATTGCTGTGCAAGGAGTAGTGCAGGAGAGTGGGGCTTCTCAAGCTGAAAAAGAGATGAGATGAGGATACTGCAAAAAGAAATTATAAAATCATTAATACACAGAGTGGATAGGGATTGAGTGTTCATTGTATCTCCAGGACAAGAATGAGGGACCTGCTAGTGCAGGTAGGAGCCAAATCCAAAGCAACCAAAAGGACAAAAGCAACCTGGTCATGCAGCAGGCAGCAGTCCAGCCAAGGAATCTCCTCAATCTGAGACTGATCACAAGGAGCGCAATCCCTCAGATGTTTGGAGGGATCTATGACACAAAGAGACCACAGCAGGCTCTGGAAAGCCTCTGAGCTGGAAATAGCTAGAAGCTGCTGTAGTGTCACAGGAAAAATGATGGATTTGTTCTGAATTTTTCCTAGGTGTCTGTTTATGGCCAGTATTGGAAGCAGAACAGATGGTCTAATCCAGCACAGTGTTCTTGCCTGGAGCAAGAACAGGGAAGGTAGGAGTCAAGTAAAGAAAGAGATCCCAAAGAGAGCAAGGGTGCAGGATGAAGCAAAGCAGGAGGTGAGGTTGAGTGAAACTGGTATAGCTAGACTGCAGTCCAAAGGTGTAGATAAGGAGGCAGAAGAAAAGTTGCAGTTTCAGCTCCATCCATGCTCAGGCTGAGCCCAGACATGCCCCACTATCATCAGGAGCAAAGCTTTCCACTGATTCCAGCAGATCAAGCCCTAAAGACATAAAGGCAAGCAGACAAATGAGGAGTTTCAGGGTCGAAGAATATTTCCAGAATATCAGGAGACGCAGCACAGTTGAGTCCATACAGGCAGAATTTGCAATTTATCTGTGTTTTTTATCTGCCAGATCCAAATGGTTTCATTCCTGGTAAGATCCAAGTAAAACTGGGATTTACAGATACTCTTTTGCAGAGTCTGCAAGATCCTAAATAAGAACTACTCTGTAGGCATTGCCCACAGCACAGTAATTTTTAAAATCTTTTTAGTGGGTGCTTAGAAATAAGCAGTGCTGCCTCTGCTTCACTCCGAATGTGATATAATCCAGTAGCAAGAAGTTACAGTTTTGGCCTCAAGGCGAGGTGCAAAACCCCCAGAAGGCCTTATGGGTATGCAGGTTTAAGAAATATGGCCACAGAATGTTCCTTCTGCATGGGAGGAGCCGCTAGTTATTAGTTACCCAAAAACACTGACTACTGCATTAATGAACAAAATAAATATTTTTCTTTCCAGAACGGAAAAATGTTCCACATTCCAGTGGACATTCCTAAATATCACAATTCATTCCATCCAGACAACAATCATTTTGGGTAATAACCTTGAAATTAGCCTTTCCTGTTGTGCGCTTCTGCTTTTCTTTAGGACTGGTCTTTGCTTTATGACTCACACACGCAGTTTCTCAATAAATGAATCGGTATTTTCAGAGAAGAATCTCTTTCAGCTGAAGTACACAGAATTTGTTGGACTGCAGAAAACGAAAGCATTTTAAGAAGCTGATCTGATTTACTGGTGAAACTCAAAATGTGCCAGATTGCTCTGCAGACATGGCGCAGTCTCTGACCTACACCAAGGCTGGAAATTGTTCCAGGCTGTGATGTGCCGTGTCTGTTCACGTCAGCTGTGCACTGGGAAATGCAAAAGGAAATGGCTTGCTGAAAAATCTCCTTCAGCTTAGGAATGGAAGAGATTCCTGTAAAACATATTATTTGGAATGAAATCAGCTTCTCAGACACGGGGAAGAGTGATGTCATTTCTCACAGAATTTATTAAGATTTCTCAGTTTTCTTCCAGTGTGCTTAGGACAATACGCAGAGATGAGCACGTTGCATCTTTCTGGTGATGTTTACAGACATCTGCCCCATTCAGCCTGCCTGGCTGTCATTCAGCCAAATGCCACCAGTCCTTAACAATTCAGTGCTTGGTTTTTTCATCATTAAGAAAAAAAACAAAACTAAATTGCAAATCGACTTCTCTGTGTGTACATTCATTTCACGTCTGCTCCTCTGCATCCTGCTCAGATGCAATGGGTGCATTGCAAAGCTGAGCTTCTCCACATGTGCCAGGCCTTCATCCTCACTACTTACAGACATGTTTTGACAGCAGGAAGCTACAGGAGTGGGTTTCACCCAGATCTTCAGTATCTATTCTACTTGTCCTCCTTATCATATCTGCTCGTCCTGCACATTTGGTGGGGAGTGGGAAGCTTGCATGCAAGGACAGATGTTTGGAAGAAGAGCAGACCTGCCTTAGCACAAAGCCTCACGATCTCTGTGTACATTGTCTAATACGGTTTTTGTTAACTGTTCAGAAGGAGGATCTTTAGAGTACATTCAGGCTGTAGTAATTTGAGCATTTTCATTTGAAAAGTGTCTGCCCTGTACCTTCAGTTTGTTTTTGTGCTCTAGTCATGCCATGTCATCACAAGAACGTGCATCTGCACCATGAGCTGTTCTGAAGAACTATCTGGCTAAAACCTCACACAGCTGAGTGAAAAAAATACATATATTTTCCATCCAGCTTAGCTCTGATGTCATTTAACACAGGGCAGCACTGAGAGCTGTCACTGCACAGGAAGGTAACCGCTTCCCACAACTGTCCCAGTTCTGCCAGGCACTCCTCAAGCAGAAGCCCAAGTTTCACTTCATGGGTGTGCACCGTAGCAGGCTGAGGGAACTGGGATTGCTCAGTTTAGAGAAGAGGAGGCTCAGGGGAGACCTTATATCTCTCTATAACTGTCTGAAAGAAGATTGTGTTGAGATGGTGGTCGGCCTCTTCTCCCAGGTAACAGTGATAGGAGGAGAGGTAACGGTCTCAAGTTGTACTAAGGAAGATTTAGGTTGGAAATTAGGAAAAAATTATTCTCTGGAAGAGTGGTGAGGCACTGGCATAGGCTGCCCAGGGAGGTGGTGGATTCATCATCGCTGGAGGTGTTCAAGAAAAGGGTTGATGAGGAACTGAGGAACTTGATGTGGAACACTGAAGAACATGGTCCAGAGTGATCACAGGCATGAGTTAATGGCTGGACTAGATGATCTTAGTAGTCTTTCCATCCCTAATGATTCTGTGATTCTATGATTTCCACACCTCAGGTCATTCTGGCTTGTGTGTAGATGCCAAAGTGTCATATGAAGAGGTCTCATCAGAATCCTTGCATGGGATGTGCCAGCACTCTATCTTCTAGTTGCAAGGACAGGAGGAGAAGCATTTCTGCATTTCTCTTGGTTCTTCTTGCTTCATTTCTTGCTCTTGAGACCCTTTTGGGGGGATTTAGGTAGGCAGTTTATATAGGTAAATTCTTAATGTAGTTTTCACCCCCCCTGCTTCTCACTCCCATTAATCAGAGTGTGGAAGCAGCATTCTGCTCAGCCTTGAGACCTTCAGATTCCAGAGAAAATGTCCGACACTAAATTACTTCCCTTCTAGCAAAAATTAGTGGGTGGAAACAAGAAGCTGGTGACACGTGACCAGCTTGGCACTGTCCATTAATAGCTGTGACCTTTGTGACTAATGCAGCACTGGGAGGCATTGGGAAGGTGCCCTAAATCCGTCCCTCTGGTGCAGTTGTCATCCTTATCTCATCGCCCACCTGAGTGGGAAGCTGCAGTTCCCAAGCCTGCCAATTCCTGCACAACACACAAAACTCTGGGCCGTGTTTGCTGACCACTGACGCCTTAGACAGAGGATGGGTTTTGCAGTCTAGCTGAATGTGGGCTCTGCAGTCTGCTTTGACGCTTAGCCCCATCCCTTAAGGTAAAGACCGTTCCAAAATCGTCCAGTGGCTGTGTGCCACCACTAGGCGCAGGATGCGGTCACAGATCCCATTTAAAGCAATGGACCAGCAGACACAGGCGGAGCATTTAGAATCCTACAGACATGGAAATCAGTTGACAATGGAAGATCTTACCTCGGGTTTCAAAACATATGGTCAGCCAACACTGCATCCTGATCAGGGAAACTTGCCTGGAATTGCTGAGTTGCAGATGCAGGATCTGGAGCATGGGCTGAGATACAAAACAGCGGAAGACACACAAGCAAAGAGAAGCGAACAAGGAGACAGAGCTTCACCCTGAGTCCTGAACTTTCACATAACACCTGTGAGCCACGGAAATCCCCACAGGCTGGTGTGCAGTGAGCGCTTCCTGCTGCGCCAGGCTTGGGCAGCACTGAGAGGGGAAACTGCAGTGGAGGTGGGAGGGAATGGACCCCATAACTCCTACTGCCCTGCAGTGGGTTGCCCTGATTCTATTTGCTTACGGTGAATTCACCGCCTTTCATTTACTTATGGTTGCTTTGCTGTGAATTTCCCTGTCTCTTATTCAGCTTTGCAAATGCTGTCCCTTTGAAAGGACTGTCATTTGATTAAAGGATGCAAAACCTATGGAAAGTTATGTGTGAAAGGCGTACAAAAAGCAGCGCCACCAATCACAAGAGTTTATGAATCACCGTTCACAAAATTGAGAAAATTAAGATTTTCTCTGACGGTCAGACTTGATCTTCTGCTGTCTTCTGCTGAACTTCTGCAAAACTTCTTTCACAGATGCATGAGAGAAGCATTAATTTCCTGAAAAAAAAAAAAAGAAAAAAAAAAAACAAAAAAAAAAAGAACAACCAACAGCTTTTGCTCTGCAGCTGTGGCAACCAGGCTTTGCTCTGTCTGCACAAGCATTGCCAGGCTCCTACCCTTCCCCCTGCTCTATCTGCCCCCCAGCTATCGCTGCTGCTTTGCTAGCACAGCCTGACAGCACACCTGCTCGGAGCATTGATCTGGCTCAAAAATGCCCTCTCATTTTTTGAAAGAGGAGTCACTCAGGGGTAGCTTTCCCTTAGGAGAGGCAGCCTCAAGAAAATCAACATGGGAATGAGAGCTGTGCTAGCAACGCAACAAAAGACTTCATCTCCTTCCACTCCTAAAGAAAATCCCAATTCCCTTCCAAAGAAAATCCTGATTCCCTCCTAACGAAAATCCCAGTTCCCTTAAGGCTAACAAGAGCAGTGCGTTGGCTTCAGCTCACTTCTGCCTTGCTGTGTTGCCCCTGCAAAGCAAGCTGTGCCATCAGTTTGGATGTACTGATCACACCATAGCATTAGACACACATCTACAAACTTTAACTGAAAATACATTTTTCACTCAAAAATTAGGGCTTCAGCTTCTTTTCTCCAAGCAGCTCTGTGTTTGACTTTCATCTTTACGACTTAAAACTCCAGGGAATAGAAAGCCAGGTCCTGAAAATTTTTCTGAACCACAAAACCACATGTGCCTCATGGAAGAAATGCTTTATGCTGCAGCACTGCAGAAATCTTGCTTTTTCTTTGGCTGCCCTTCATTGTGCACTGTGTTGTTTGTTGCTGGAGATGCCACCACGTCCCTGGGAAAGGCTCAGCTTGAGAAATCGGGGACTTCTCTGGTTGTCACCAGGAAGGCTTCAGATTAAGTCTACTTTTGACTTTCTGCTCAGCCTAATGCAGGAGACAAACCAAAAGACGAGCAAAGAGCACTACCACGGTTGACATGTTTCATCAGCTTCACCAGAGACCGGCTCAGGAACGGAGAAAAAGCATCAAGCAGTTCTCCACATCCCAAAATAAATACCGATGGGGTTCAGAACAAACTTTGGAAAAAAATGTAAGCATTGTCTGCCAGGAACAAATTTGAAGTTATAAAAATATTTACTGTATGCAAAGGTTTTTGCCATCCAAGAGCCTTCAGGATCATTTTTGAGGCTATTATTTTAACAGTAAAGATACACAAAAATTTTTGATTGGAACATCTCTTTTTCTTATCTTCAGCAGGCCACACGTGAGCATGATAAAGCTCAGTGTTGTCCTTGACGCTGAGTTCTTCCTGCATTGCTGGCAGTAATTCTCATTACTTGGACACACTGTAATGTGTTTCACAGCACACTCAAGGCCAAAGATTAGCTGGTGGATGTGGCAGGAATCTCTGGGAATGCTCCATTATCTTACTCTCAGAAGTCTTAAGAATGAGACAGTGGAGGTAGACTATGCTGACATTTTTACTTTATTACACATCAGATTGGAAAATCAGGGAATATAATGTCGGAAATATCCTTGTTAAGTGATGTCATTGGTTTCTTCCAATACATTCCCGAAGCTTTTGAGTCAGGCTTCTTAAATACACAGCAGTGTATTTAAATACACATTCGTACTTAAGTACACTTCAGAGACTATTTTCAAATGCATGCAAAGGGGGAGATTGGAGTTTCCCATACTGCATAAGCAAGTGTGGGGCACATAGAAGCTCCCAAAACAATGTTCCTTCAGGAAAGATGCTCAGATCCCACATGTTATCTTCCAAATATCCAACCTGAACCAGAGGAGACAAGTGTGTTATCTGTGACAGGGCATCATGCAGGACACCAGGAATAACAGAATCATAGAATCACCGGATGGTTTGGGCTGGAAGGAAACTTAAAGCCCACCCAGCCCCACCCCCTGCTGTGGGCTGGCTGCCCCCACCAGCTCAGGCTGCCCAGGCCCCATCCAAGCCGGCCCTGAGCCTCCAGGGATGGGACACCCACAGCTCTAAGGGCAGCTGTGCCAGGGCCTCCCTGCCCTCTGAGTAAAGAATGTCTTCCTAACATTTAACCTCAATTTCACATCTTTTAGTTTAAATCCATTCCCCCTGTCCTGTCATTATCAGACCATGTAAAAAGTCAGCCCCCCTTCTGTTTATAAGCTCCCTCAAGTTCTGGATGGCAGCAGTGAGGTCTCCCCACAGCATTCTCTTCTGTAGACTGAACAAGCCCAACGCCCACAACCTTTTTTTCATAAAAGAAATACACCAGCCTATTGAATAGCTGCACCCACCCTTCTCACAGTCTTTGTGTAAGTCAAACATTCAAATTAGTTAGGAAAATGCTTTCACCCTTTATTGTTAAGGTTGATCACTGCCTTTACTAGCATAAACCAGGTGGTTTCCTGGAAGTTGGGCCATGGCACCTTCCAGAAAATCTGAGTTGGAAACGTCAAGCTGTGCCCAGAAGAGTCCTCAGCGCTGTAGTTTTCTCACACACAAGGCTGATGTCTGCCCACAAGCAGACTTTCCTGCTGCTCCTTCTGGAGGTGGGTGAAGGGAGCAGTGGGGCTTGCACTGGGCTGCCCCATGCGCAATCTGTGTATGGAGGAGCTGGGTCTGGTGCAGCCATTTCCCACCACTTGTGTTCCCTGCCAGCAGCAGAAGTGGTGATGCCCACAGCCTAATGAGCACAATGTGGGGATCTTCAAGGTAGGAAGGGAAGTGCTGAAAGACACAACCATGGGTGTGGCTGGCATTTGAGGCAGCCAAATGCACTTTCAGCATTCTGTTCATGTCAAAGAACAAGCCTCCAGGAGTGTACTGGGTGTCTCACACTTGGCTCTCCCTGCCAGTGTGCCTTTGCTAGCTCTCCAGATTTTATCAGTTTTGCAATATGTCACGGAGTTGACCAGATCAATCCATGTCCGTGACAGGGGCGGCAGGCCTCTGCCCTCCCCCCCCCACCCCAGTCCCACAAAAAATGGGAAGGAAGGAAGGGAGGAAAAGAGCAGCGGCAACAATCTATGGAGGAAAACTTATTTTACTATAATATTGGAATACAAGAAAACACAATAGATACAATTTAATTGAAATTGAGATGAATAAATCAGACAAGATGAGAGAGAGAGTTCCCGGGACCGATTCAAACCTGAAAAGCTTGGAACGGCCAGGAAAGCACCTCCAGCACCCACTGCAAGGCAGCAAGAGAGCGCCCCCCCACCCGGAAGGGCCAGATCCCGTGACTGCTGTAATGTACAGGGATAGGTACTTGGAATTGGGGCAGTGACACTTTAATGCCCCGTACACTACATGATGTTTTGATGTGGAATACTGAAATCCAAAAACAAAAAAACAAAAACATAGAACCATGACACAATATTTGCTCTTTCTCTTAAATCTCAGTTCACAGAGTCAGTGGTGAGTACAAACTTCATACAGAAGTTCCCCATCACATGTTACAAAAACATAACAACTCTCAGTTTAAATAGCTATAAGAGTTAATAATATCTTGGAAGATATCTGCAGTGCTCATCAGCTGTGATAGGCAATTACAAATTTGAAGAGATTAGCAATTTGTTTATAAATATGATTTGAAAAACTTTTACTGATGTATCTTCAGCCTACAGCTCATAGTTAATTAAGAAACCACATTTATATGTGCATTTAAAAGTGTCATGAAATTACAAGAGCACCTCCACTTTAAAAAGTTAAATTTCAGACTGCTGGCTGGAGAGAAGACATCAACCCCAAAGGCTCAGGAAACAGAAAAAAGAGCAAACGCTGTCACATGGGCTCTGTTTTGTTTCACTGTTTTGCAATCCACACTATGAGTTTGTTGTTAGATGTATTTTTGACTGCTGAGCAGTGGGGGCTGCTTTGCCAAACCTGCCTCTACCTCAGTAGTCTGCCTTAAAATTTACAGCCCCAAAGTAGCTAATTCAAGCCTTGGGTATCATAGACAAACAGGGAGTCTATTGTTGACCACTGTGTTATTTGATTTGAGAATTTAACAGAGTGTGAGTGGAGGACATCCAATTTGCATTATTTTTTCCTTCTTTTGAAGAGGAGCACATGGTGTATGATGGGGAAGAGCTCAAACCACAGCCCATCCTTGGCTCAGCACCGTTGCCATCACTGTGTGCTGGAGGCAGGCTACTTAACTTGAGTTCATGGTTTGAGGACTTCCCTCCCAGACAGCAGATGCCCCAAGGGCTCAGCATCCCATGCTGCTGCAGCCTGAACTCCAAGGTGCGAGTGCCATTGCTTTGTGACCGATGTACCAGGAAGCCTTTTACATTCACAGCACTGGGAATACATTTGGTACTCATTAGGCATGAATAATGGTGCTTCCCTTATCAGAGTCCTCCTTTCTCTGGTCAGCACTAATCCCTTCCCACATTCCTTTCCTCCAGCTCCAACTGCCAAGGTTCACTTTGCATAGTAGCACGAACTGCACCACTGCACACATGCAGAAATGTACATCCCATGATCACTCATGCAGAAGCCCCAATAGAAATCTGTGTTCATTAGACTGCAACCAGCAGCCTTATATGTGTTATATATGTCACATGTAAGATACACATTACATGAACGCATAGCTAGTTAGTGATCCTGCTTTGTACCAAAGCACTCCAAGAAGGAGCCTGACTGCTGGGATTTGGCTGGAGCACTGCACACAGTGACCTGATTCAGGTCCACAAATACATCAGCTGTGTCTGCCTGATTCAGAAAGCCAGGAACAGCTTTTCTACACATGCTGGAGCTGGAATTGGGAACCCAGAGCTGCACAACTCTGCTTCTGCCTGCATCAGTGATTCTTTCTCTCCTGCACACACATGCACTTTAATCCCAGCCCATCTTGCCTCTTCCTTGATTCAAGAAATTGAACGTTTAGCATTTTGGATTAGGTCCTTTTGAAGATTGCTTTGAAGTTTGGGCAGAGGTGAATTTAGGAATCTAGCTCACATCGATCTCTGGTTGTAAGCACTTCTGATATGAACAGGTAATAAAAAGGAACACCACTCCTCTGCTCTCCCAGTGGAATAAGTGATTATTCTGTTAGCAGTTGGCCTTTTTAGCTGCTACACCCAAATGCTGAATAGTCCTGCTGAGACCATGCTTCATGGTTCCTCCCATTGCGTATAACCCCAATTCCCTGTGAGAGAAGACAGGTGAGAACCCCAGCGAGGAGCAATGGGCACTTCCACCCAGACCCCGCCTGCAGCTGCCACCACCCAGCAGGCTGCACCAGGCAGCACAGCACAGCTGGGTGTTGACCTTCTGCCATGCCTGACGTTGCTGCTCCGCCCTGGTGATAAGAATCACATGCTCTCAATTAAGCAATGTGCTTTTTTTAGTTCAAGGGGCAAGGTCCCAAGGTCCAGGACACCAGCACAAGAAACTACTTGAGCGTTCAGGTGGAATGTACACCTATATCTAACAGAGCAATCCAGCACTTGACAGCCACAGGGCCGTGCAGTTGTGAAGGTATCATAAATTCACCAGATGCCTCGTGGGCAATTTTCCTGCCCTGGAAAATTTATTCTTCCCATGGCTTCACTCTAGACACAGCCCCTTTCAGCTCTTGCCTCTCTTTGTCCCTGTCACGGAGTTGACCAGATCAATCTATGTCCGTGACAGGGGCGGCAGGCCTCTGCCCTCCCCCCCCCCACCCCAGTCCCACAAAAAATGGGAAGGAAGGAAGGGAGGAAAAGAGCAGCGGCAACAATCTATGGAGGAAAACTTATTTTACTATAATATTGGAATACAAGAAAACACAATAGATACAATTTAATTGAAATTGAGATGAATAAATCAGACAAGATGAGAGAGAGAGTTCCCGGGACCGATTCAAACCTGAAAAGCTTGGAACGGCCAGGAAAGCACCTCCAGCACCCACTGCCAGGCAGCAAGAGAGCGCCCCCCCACCCGGAAGGGCCAGATCCCGTGACTGCTGTAATGTACAGGGATAGGTACCTGGGACTGGGGCAGTGACACTTTAATGCCCTGTACACTACATGATGTTTTGATGTGGAATACTGAAACCATAAAAACATAGAACCATAACAGTCCCTTCTGTCCCACGCGCTCCTTTTTTCAGCTTGCTGCTCACCCAGGCAGCTGTGTCAGAAATACACCTCCCAGCACCCAGGTTTTGGGTAGAAACAAATGTTTCAAGTCAGACACTGATTTGACTGCGTTGGCTGAACCCTGCTCATCAGTATGAGGTAAACAGATTGCTTCTTATTCAACTGTGGCTGATTTGGGTTGGATTTGTTCCAGGTAACCCCTTGCCATCCTGTGCTCCTTTCCCCGTGGCATTGCAGGGTAACAACATTATCACAGGGAGAGAGTGAAGCCAGCTGAGGCTCTGCAGTGCTCTTATCTCCCAGCCTTGAACTCAGACACTTCATATGTGACGTCAGTCCATACTGGCAAACTACCTCTAAATGCAATTTTTTTCACTCTCCCACCAGCTCAGCTTCTAAAAGGATTTAATAACACCCCAGTGTGTGCAGTTATAAACCGAGTTCGGAGCGTTTGGGTTGAGTCAACTTTATATAAGGAGATGGGAACTCATGTTGGTGTGGAGAAACAGTTTCAACGCCCCAGTTGCTTTACATTGGGCACGTGTGTGTCATGCTTCTGGTAATCCTGATGCTAAAAGTAGGACAGTGTGCACAGCCTCCAGGAGCACATTCTCACTTCCCATCAAAGCTGCTTCTCAGGTTCAGTGCCCCTCTGTGTGTTAACATGTTGGCTAGTTTTGATCGTTCTTCCCAGTGAAACTTCATCACTTTGTTTAATTGCAAAAGTTAACCACTGTATTCAAGAGATGAATTAGACCACTGCCACAAGAAGGTATGACGTTTAGTAGCTTAAAAGATATTGATGACTGCATCAGTTCTTCTTCTGAAATACAGCATTCATTTGTAGAAATTCCCCACTGGGAGGAAAGAAATCGATGACACATGGAAGGTGCTAAAGCCCCACCAAAATAGCATCTTAACGGTTCCTTAAAATGGTGAAATGTACACAAATGATGAAAAACAGTTCAGAAGGTTAACCAGTTTAGTCTTGGAGCAATCTGAGTATTTCAAGACAGATTTACAGTGCACTGAAAATCTGATTATGTAAACTATCGTAAATGGATTCAGTGTGTTAGAAGCCAACACTAAATCTTCAGCTGCTTATTGAAAAAAAAGGCAATAGGGAACTATACATTAGAATGAAGATTGATTTCGGAAAGCCTAACATAAATGAAATATGCTGACATGATGGGTAACCAGAAAGAAAGAAAGCATAAAATTAACAAGCGTCGGGTCTTGCTCCAGGATTACGACTATAAACTAGAGAAGGACATTAATTGTAAAGCCAGTCCTTGAGATGAACTGCAAAACTTCTGATAAAGCTTGTCAAAACTCTCCGTGTTCTTGGTTCAAAATGTGCTGCAGTTGCGCCCGGTCATTAACAGGAACTGGAAACGATCCTGAAAACCCCCGTGCACAACCCCCTGCCAGGGATGGGGCCTTGTCCTGCATCAAGGCCATCTGCATGGTGTGACACGGGGGGGCTGGAGGTTTGAAGTTGGAAAGGTTTCACCACACTAAGAGCACCCCACTCCAGAACTCACATCAGATGAGGATTTTGGGTGTCCTTCAATAAATACACCTATTGTGTGGTTTGGTCCAAGGCATCACAACAAAGTTACTGTGAGCTATGTAGCCCTTTTATTCTCTCTTTTTTTTGCCTAGTTACTTTTCATAACTGCGTTTAAATTGCCTCAATACTTCTTTAAATCTATTTTCATTAAAATTCATTATAACCCTGAAAAGATTTATATGTGACTCCCTAAAAATGTGTTGTTAAATGTTATGGATTTTGTTGTTGTTGTGAGGCCCTTCCTTTTATCCTCTCTCCACACCCCTAAGGAGTGTTCAGTAGAAGTGTTTCATGCTAGCGTCGTACTTAAAAATAGCCAATGCCATCAGAGTTGGGATTTGATACGATCCTTTCTCCAGGATTGCTAAGTCAAATAAAATGAAAAGCCCCTGGGAAACCATCCAAAGGAGCACTACAAATCCAAAAAGAATCCCAACACATTGTGCTGCCTCTTTTGAAACTAGGTCTGTGAACTGGACTGTTGGCATATCAGTCACTTTGTGAAAAGAGTGAATCTGGACAGGCAGGTAGGCACCCACCCAACACATGAGCTCCCTGCTCACAAGTGGAAAACATAGCAGAGCTGGTCAGGTCAGCCTCCAGCCGGTCTGCAGGACAGGTTCCAAAGGTCCTACCACCATCACTCCATTCTGTCCTCTGCTGCCATGTGGGAGAGCAGCTCCTGCCACCTGAAAAATGGGTGCCCCAATCCACCAGGGGAAGCCAGACCTTCCTGCCCCCAGCACTCCTGCATTTTCCCACTGGAGAGCAGTGGGAGCAGTCCCTGCACTGAAGCACTGGCTCAGCTGCACCATTCCAGCACTTCCTGAGAGCCTTTCTGAAGTGCACAGGAGATGAAGGATGTCCAGATTATTCTGACTCAAGGACGAAATTTTGTTTTCCATTATGAAAAACCTATAGAGATGTGAGGGTGAGGAGGCTAAATAGGACATTCTGTCTCTACAGAAAGAAGTGTTACAGGCAAGGAAGAACTAAATCTTTTGCCATGTACTAATTAATCCAACACTGTCAGTGCAGCAAAAACAAAAAGAAGTCAGGTGGAGGAGGTGGCAGGGGGTGGTGGGGCAGATTACTTGATCAGGATTTCAGATGCATGTGCACTTGTATATGACTCACTAGGGCACGACTTGTCACCCATCACTGCGCGTTACTTGCAGCACGGCCATCAGTGCTGCTCCTCATGCAGGCTGTGCCCGCAGTCAGCATGGAAAGAGGTGCTTTTAGAAAGTGATCCGCCTTGCACTAAGGCAGATGCTTAACCTAGTCGAGATGAGTTGTGCCCTAGAAGTGCCTATTTCTCTTCTTTGACTAAGATGAAGCCTGAAGCAATCAGCACTGACATAAAGGGCTGCGCTGTTGGCATCAGCAGGAAGGTGAGATCCTCCAACTGAGTCACTTAATTTGCCTTAAATGCAATCATGGGATGGATTGTTTCAGATGGTGCTATTTATAGGAGCAAAATTCAGAGGAAAGAAACAAGAAGGCACTTTGCTGGTCTGAGTTGGCACCCAGAGATGAGTCACTTCGATCGCTCCCTGATACCTGGGAGACAGAAGGATAACTCACGTCGGTGTCAGCATACAGACACATCCATTAGCCATGGTGACGAAGTCATGAAACCTCCATTCTGCTGTAGGAGTGTAATTATTGCAAGAGGAATGTCTGAGTCATGGATGCAATGCAACCTCCCTTCAGGTATGTGATACAGAAGATGTTAAGCAGCCAAAAGACTGGAAAATACCAAAGTGATCACTGTTCAGTACAGGTGAATCACACAATGAAGTTCCTTCATTGTATGGCATATGGAGAAGTGGTTTGAAAAGCATGTGGGGCAGCATATCGGTGCTTGATCTTTCACAGTGTTTTCTGCAGAAAGAGAAACACTTCTTATTTGATCCCTGCTATTTTGATGTGGATTCTTTCAGACAGTGACTGGAGTCGCAGATTTTCTTCAGAGATATGTCAAAATATCTCAGGGTCTGGAAGCACATATTTAGGACACCTGCCGAACCCTTCCCAGCCATAGTTCACTGCCATAGTATAAGAGCAAGTACAGCTGGAAGGGAGAAAGCCTAATGTCTACATAAAACCAGTTCAAAATTAAATTACTACTTAAAGATGCTCAAAGGAGACTGATTTTCTTTCTTATTCTAGTGTATTTGGTGGAGAAATAAGGGTTGTTTAGATACCTTATCTAAGAATTTCCATCTCTTCATACATTGTTGTGATTTGGGTAAAACCCTTCTGATAGTTGAAGAAATATCTTATTGATGCTATCTAGTCTGATGTTCTCAGACTAGAAGGAGCAGCAGCTAAATGGCCCTTCTGTTGGGAAAGGCTCCTAGGAAGTGTCTACTGTCAAAGCATGGAGCTGGGCAGGAGCTGCACCATTAGGCTGCCACATCTCCCACGAGCAGGGATGGAGTGAGCAGCTCCCAGCTCTGGGGTTGGTGGCGTCACCTGCATCCTTGGAAAACAACAGAAAAAAAGAGCCACAGACACAAACAAGATAGAGACAAAAAAAAGAAAAAAAGGAAAAAAAAGAAGAGTGATTTTGATGTTATTTACTTCACAAGCCCCTGTGAGCTGCTGCTTCATACTGGAGTTTTTTTCTTCCAGGCACAGTCCAACAGGCACTGCTGGGCTTGCCCCTGCTCCAGGGCAGTTGGTGGGGAGTGGCCACGGAGGTGGCACTTCTGGACCTCATCCTGCTCCTGGCCAGGGGCTGTGCCAGCAGGGCTGTGAGCAAGGCCACCCTGCCTGCAGCTCTTAGGTTCAGTTTGATCTGACCCATACCAGCTCTTCCTTTCCTTCCTTTTAACCTTTCCCTTTTCCTCTCTTCTGCAGCTTCACAAATCCTCCAGAATGCTGTCAGCCCCTTGCTAAGGCCCCAGGAGGGTGGAGGCACTCTGGCTGATGGATATAGAGAAGCACACAGGGCTGTGGCAATACAGTGCAGAGATCATCAAGATCTTTTTCTGGAATTATTCAGATAAGTTGGACTTATTTTGGACTCGTGTTGGACAGTTGGCTGTAGCAGTGGGATTGAAACAACCTCCCCCTCTTCCCTCACATTGGTGAGTCTCCTGGAGCTCGGTAGGGAATGACAAAGGTACAGGTATACACAGTCTGTTCGTGTCCAGATGGGCTTTCTGAGAGCAGGCCTTTGCCTTGTCCTGAATGGAGGCTGTTGGATTACTTCCAGACCCAATGTGAACCTGGAATCTGCAGTGTTTCATTCATGTGATGCTCGTGCTAATGAGCCATGTCAGACCCAGCTATCTCTGCATATGTGGCACAGATAATCTCCAAACAGGATAATTCAACCACAGATGCCCGTGAGCTGGTTTTGTCTGCAGACACCTCTGTGATTGCTTCAGCCTTGTCCTTAAGTACTCTCGTGTGATTTTCATTAGGCCCAACAAAGCTGAAAACATCTCAGTGAAGGAGTACTCCCTAATCTGTTCCTTCTGTTCTACTCTGAGTTCTTCCCCTTTCATCACTGTTGTTAACTGCATTAACCATCTGAGAGCAGTTAATTTTTTTACTGACGTATTACGTAAATTGAATGATCATGGAAGTCCTGCTGGAATGGGTACTATCATCTGGAGATGTCCCTGATTATTGCAGGGGAGTTGGACTATGGTTCCTTTAAGGATCCCTTCCAATTCAGACAATTCTGTAATTCTCAAAGGGTTGCATTGGTACATTGGCCAGATCTGCCAGTCTTTATATAGGCAAATTAAGCTGGCACTTGCTGTGAAAACACATCCTGCCTTATGAGTAATTATTGCTTGCAAAGAGGAAGTCTCAGTGCTGCTTTGCCAGAGCAGTAAGGCATCATGGGGTTGTCCACACAAGCACTCAGTGAGAGCTGAGGAGGAAGGAAGGTGGATAGAAAACACACAATGGAGAGCCAAGAAACCCTGAGCTATCTCCTTGGATTTGGCTTTCATCCATAGGAAGAGCAGAAAGCAAGGAGCAGCAGGCATTAGGAATAGAAAACAGCTATAAGCTCAGCGCAGGCTCAGTATCTGATGCCTTCCCTGGCTCCTACTCTCCATCTCTTGTCTCCTGCCTGCTGGTCTCCAGCCCATTCACTTGTGACAGCACAACTGTCTGTAGGACTGCACTTTGAACTGGATTAGGGAACCGATCCTATTTAAAAAATCCTGCCAAGAAATGTCAGCTCTGTGATGGGAACAAACGATAGTGAGAATAATTTAAACCAGCACTACCCTTGAGCATATTGCATTACAAAACCACAGCCGCATTTCCGTGGCCAGCCTGGCCAGGCTGCTTTGCACTGCACTGATTTAGGGATGAATCCTCTAACAGAAGCTGTGAATCCTCTTGCCTGGGTCTTTCTTCTAATTGCTAGCTTTTGGTTTAAATAACTGAGTACTGATATCTTCCAGTCACAGTAAGTATTGTGGCTGTCTTCTTTAGGGATCATGCTTGAAATCTTTCATAATGAAATGAAATTCAAAGACACAAAACTGTATTAGAAAAGGCTGAGGTAAAAGTATGTATTAGAAACTTCAGAGTGCGTAACATGAAGGAGCACTGCAGTTACAGGAAAAGCCTTACAACCCCACAAAAGTAATTGGAAACCTATACTTATAAACAAATAAATAGATAACTTCTGTCTGGCAGAAACACACACATCAGGAGGTGCACACCCACCCCATGGCACAAGAGCTCAACTTGTGCCAGCAAGGCTTCCAGAGCAAAGGACACCTCTTACATGTCACATTTTCATGTGCTCCCAACCTCCACAGAAGGGTGGAGTACTCTCTTTGCCTCTGAGATTCTTCTTCTTGTCCCTAGCAGAGGCTGCAATTCTTTGCCTATCTTAATGCCCCAAGGTTTGAGAGCACTGGGATGACGTATTCAGGCCAGGTTGGACGGGGTCCTGGGCAACCTGATCTGAATGTGTATGTTTGGTGGCCCTGCTAGGCAGGGGGGTTGGAACTACATGATCCTTGAGGTCCCTTCCAACCCGGGTGATTCTGTGATTCTGTGATTCTGTCCCAGAGTGCTCCGCACGCTCCCTGCTGTGAAATTTGCAGCATAGTTCTCAGCACATTGTCCTGTGCCAACTAGCTCTGTCCTGTGCCATTTCTGGAAGGGTTCAGCAGCACTGTGGCCTCCCAGCACCAGTTTCTATGCAATCATCCTGTTCTGGAGAGCAGGAGAGGTTAACACTATGGATGTGGGCTGCTCCTTTCCAGCTGGCCCCAGTGCCAGGGAATGGCACCAGTCCCATGTAATTTGCTTTAGTTTCTTTATGCTATGGTTCTTCTCCCACTCATTTGCATTTAAAACCTTTTTGGTAATAGTTAGCTAGTGAGCTGATAGATGTTTTAGATAGAGTGTATGGATTTAACAGATTCTTTCTTTTTTTTCTTTTTTTCTCCCTGTAATACTCTGAAGGAAAATTGCTATAAAATTCAGCCACCTCCTGCAGTGCTAGGGTAGATGCTGACAATGGGCATCCAGCTGGGTGTTCAGGCTGGAAACAGGCAAATCCCCAAAATTCAAACACTCCTTATTTTACACAAAAATTCCAGAGGTTTACCTGGAATGCTCTTCAAGGAAGAAACCAGGCATTTCTTGGCAATTCAAAGCACAGTGGCAAACTGTGCCCTTAGTTTGCTAATGCCGTTCAAGTTTAGGGAGTCATCTCAAGAGGAGAAGCAGCAGTTAGCCCCTAATGACCTAAAATTTCTGCACTTACAGGCACTGACTTCATTTTGTCTTCAACCCCCCAATGACACTGCCGTACAGTGCCGCCAAACCAGCTGTGAGTCGGTGAGCCAGGCCAATACTAATGCCCAATTTAACATGCAGCTCATGTGCCTTTAAATAGCAGCGAGAGCTGAGCCAAGCCATCCTCTGCAGCAATTTCTGGACATATGTGTGCAGCCCCCCCAGCCCGCGATGCGGGGATTGGTGCAGCTGCCTGTCAGTCCCAGTCACCCCACTGACGTCTCCTCCACACTGTTGACTTGATCCTCTTTGTAGCCAATGTAATTATAATGTGGAGAATAAACAACTGTTAACAATTTAGGTTAAACGTAATTTAATGCCGACAGATTACCTTACTTAGATTAGATTTCATTTCACGTGAGCCATACAGAGGGCTTGAGGAGATTGTGTGCTTCTGTTAAAGTAATCCTGGACAGAGGAAAGATTGACGTTGGCTTCCTCAGGCTCTATTAAATGCTTCAGCAACTTTGGCACAAGTTTCTTTCTAATCTGTCATTGCTTTTGGAATTCCACATATGAAAACAAGATCTATCTGAGAGCAAAGGTTCAAAACTCATTCCTCTTTGGAATAGTTCATATATCTTATAGATGGAGAGCTTAAAATCTAAGATCATCTCTGAAGGTTTGCTTAGTCTCTTGAAAAGACTATGCCTAGTATTTTACCCACAGTGCCATTGTAACTATAAACCATGGAAGACAGCGTGAAATACTGCTGTTATAAAGCCTAAGATGTAGTCACACAAGCCTAAAAACTAGAGAATCTATCACACACTGTTCTTGTGCTATGGGATGGCTGCCAAGCAAGGCACGCAGATTGCTGCTGCTGATCTTTTAAACAACGAGGAGAAGGACAGGACTTCCCAATGCATCAAGCAGTGCCTGTCTGCACAGCTTCCTTCTGGTGGCCACTTTCTATTCTAGGTGGACCATACTAGATGCAGAAGTTGTGACTGGATACCAAACACATTTTAATAGAGGTTTTCAGCTCTATACATCTCTGTAACAGAAAATTTCCTAAACAGGAGACAGCAAAAATACTGTCTGGTAGTTTTAGAGCTCATTTGTCTTCCCTTCACATGCAGAACAGCCATGGCTTTTCCAGTCTTTCATACTTCCAAAGTCCAACAGGAGTGCATGTATTTGCAAACAGAATTGCCAGCTATCCTCTAATTCTTAAGGAACTCAGCAAAAAATAGCATCAAGCCCAACAAGCTCTTGTGATTTGGTGACAGTGGGGCCTTTGTTTATCTTTAGTATTGAAAGCAAAGGGATATCTGATACATTGCTGTATTTCAATGAAGTTATTTATGTGCTTGGCTTTGGAGGAACCTGTTAACCCATACCTTTGTGCTCCTGACCTGCTGCGATGACAGTACTTGGATTTACCAGAGCAGTCAATTGGCCTGTTGGTTCACAGCACTTAACAAGTGGAGGAGTTTCTTCATTCTCAGTGTGGAGAAGTCAGTGCATGCTATTGTCTTACACCTCTAGCTATACAGGGTTAAAGCCATGTGTGATGTGTCTTGTACGGTTTGTAAACAACTTTGTTCTTGGGTGGCATGAGGCAGCTGTTTTCCAGGTGTCTGTCACAAGGGCAGTGCACTCCACTGTGCTCTCCAAGAAGCTTTCAAGCCAAGTTTAATCTGGGTCAGCCTGGCAGCTTTCTTGATGGTGTCCTGACAAGAGTCTCAGTTCATGTGTGGAGATTTTTATCAAAGTGCAGGTACCACCCTAAGACACAGTGTTAGAAACTGACAAATAATGACAGAATGGTTCCGGCTTTAATGAAACAAACATGAATTAATTGCACAAAGAAGCAAGCCATCATTATCCCGCGACATGAAGCAAAGATTGGTTATGTAGAGCACTTTCCCGCCATTTTTAGTGGCTTGGCATTACTAGTCTTCCGAAAGTGTTCACGCAAGCAGTTGTTCTCCAGCATTAGCAATCAGTTTTGTCGCTCATGTAGCTTAATATCAATTAAAGCAGCTCAGACAGGCTTTGGTGTTGTTTTAATATTAATAAAACTGGAGATGATGACTACTCCACACTGATTTACAAATGGTCATCTTATCGTATCACTTCTTTTATTTGCAAATGTGTATAATCACATAAGCTATATTGCATGAGTTCCTGTTTTACATATAAAACAAATCAGTACTTCTGATAGTAGTCTGCAAAGAAAAAAAAAAAAAAAAAAGATCTCTGATCAAGATTTTTCCACATCACTCTCTTGAAGCAAAGGAAAATAAATATTTTATACATTTCAAGTATTTCATCCTTAGAGCAAGATTAATCTTTCCAC